TTGTCCATGTCATCGAGTTTGAAATCCAGGTCCATGACTTTGTTTTTGGTGTTGCGAAGCTCATAGTTGTGCTTTGCTTGCTCTTCCTCCATGCTGTTGAACCTGTTAGCAATCATAGCTGCATCCTTGGTTGCATGTGCTTCTATTGAATTGACTTGTGAGGCTAGGTTATCGATTTTTTCATTGAAAAGTTTCGATATCCCATCAATCCTTTCGTTTAGAGCAGTTGTTGCGGTTGCTTGAGCTTCCATGAACTGTCTGATCACGCCTTCGAGCTGACTCAGTCTGTTGCTGAGCTGGACGTTCTCATCTTGCTGGAGAACTTGGTGAGGTAGGCGATACATAGAGTATCTAGGGTTTGCCATTTGAGGTGCGTAGGGCTCCTTCTGGAACGTTCTGTTGTCTTCGCTTTGAGTTTTTTCGTAGAGATCGCGTAGATGCTTCTCTCTGCGTCTGGTGGCTTGAGGAGTGTTATAGAAACCTTCTTCATAGTGTATATTTTGATTTATAGGATCCATATCTTCTGAAATGGAAACAAAATAACCGAAAAATGGAAAGTTGCAGAAAGGGGTTCTAGAGTCGATTTACTAACCTTTCTCGGGGTTTTGCAGAAAAGAAAACGCGTGCATTTCCCCGGCAACGGCGCCAAAAACTTGATGGTGGTTGGATGTGGTTGTGTCGAGGGTTGTCAAGTTTTACCCTAATTGAAATCAATAGCCGCAAGTGCACAGCTGATCAATTGTAGTACTTAGGGATCAAATCCACAGGGAAGGAGGATCTTTTGCTGCAAAAAGCCTTTGAAATAAGTTAAAGTAAGGAAGTCTAGAACAAAAACGGTTTAGTGGGGGTTTGGTAGTGTGTTTAAAAACTAAAAACGAAATCTTAAAAGAGAATACGGAAATTAAATGGCGTAATAACTAAACTTAACGAAAATAACTAAAAATAAAAAAACGGATATTCTAATGCTTAAATGAAAATGAACTAAAAAGGAAAGACAATATTGAACTAAAGCTTAAAGAAAATCGCTGTAAATCAATGGAGAAGAAAGCGTTGGGGTTCAGGGAAGTTTTCTCAGGGGTACGAACGATTCAAAACATTGCTAGAGAGGAAATTTTGTAAGATCTTAGCTTAAACTTTTCGAACTGGAGTCACGGACGTATGAATACGCCACTGTCGTGATCATAGACAACTATCTCTCTCAACCCTGACCAGTAGGTTTCCACTCTGGCCCTGGAAGAGAAGAGATGCATTATGTTTAAGACTCGTCCTAATTCACAAATCGCCCATAGGTAGGTTTCCACTCCTATGTTTGTTTTGCTCTCCCAAACTAGATCTGATACCTGATGAACACTTTCGTGTCACCAAGCATCTGGATCACATTGTAGTTCATGACGCTACTCTCATGCAGTAAAACGAATTCAGAAGAAAAAGTTCTAAGATTCGGCTCAAAAGCTCATGGAATCCTCATCGAACATATAAATCCCCATCGAAAATCCCTTAATCCCAACAATAGAACTACTCAGACATAATAAACGAAATCAAAAGCATAGTATTGAGAAGTAGAATAGAAACCGAAATTGAAAAAGAAAGAACAAGGGTTCAAGAGAACAAATCTCTCTCTCCCTAAAAGCTAAGGCAAAAACAATAAAAGTATGAAGTAATGATAGATGATATTACGTTACACGATTTTTAGGGTTCCTAAGACATGTATTTATAGTGTTCAAGACCTCTCTGGACGTCACTTAGGGTTTTTCCGAATGTGGGCTTCAGAAATGGGCTTTTTGTGCTTGGAGTTGGCTTGCCGCGGTCGGGACAAGTGTGACCGCGGGGAATGAGTTGTTTGCCGCGGTCGGGATGCTCCTGACTACGGGAAATTGCTTGTTGGCCGCGGGTGGAAGTGCTTGCCGGCTAGTTTACGGGACATCTTGCTCTTCGCGTATCTTTTGATTGAACCGTTAGATTGCCAATCTGTAAAGTGCACTGGAAAGTTGATACTTCCATCTTTAAGGTCTCCAAATTTGAGCTGGATCAGACGGTGAGAAGGCCTTCAATCAGGGGTGAACTTCTGACGGTTTGACTCTGAGCTGAAATCTGGTTTTCTATCCATTTTGTTAAGCTTTTCCCTAAGTTACTTGAAAAGAGTCTTGGGACTACAAATACTAGAAAAACGTGATAAAAATACTTAAAAGCAATTAAAAACATAGAAAAAGTATTTCAAAATGATCCATAAAAGTGGTCAAAATACGGTGTTATCATATTGTTGCTTTTCAAAAGCTGGCTCATCATGTTCTTCAACTCGGTTATCTCTTTGTTGTCTGTTCCGGTTTGCTTTGTCGAGCGATTGTATTCAGGACAATCATTGCTATTGGCTTAAGCCAGATTTTCGATGAGGGCTCTTCCTTGTGCTATCGTCTTTTGTCCAAAATCTCCATTGCTAGCTGTATCAAGCAAAAGTTTGTATTTTGGTTGCAAACCTCGGTAAAATGTGCTCAGCAGGCTTGATCCGGGAAATTCATGGTTGAGGGCAGTCACGTTCATACTCCTTAAAACGTTCCCAGGCTTCATAGAAAGGTTCAGTCGGTCCTTACTGAAAACTTGAGATCTTGGTTCTCAGCAAGTTCGACCTTGCCTTAGTATCGAAGTGGTTTAGGAAAGCAGTTTTACATTCTTCCAACTTACCCGTTTAAATAGTCTGATGGAACTTGGTTTGTCTTCATCATGCTGCAGATTTCTTCAAAGAGCTCGATATGGTCCATTGGATGTTCAGAAGGAACTCCATGGAATTGGTTTTGTTTCACCAAAGAGATGATTTGAGGCTTGACTTCAAACTCATTCTGGTTCGGAAATGGTACTTGAATTGCAGATCGGTTATGAAAATTTTGAGTAGGTGCATCGAAATCAGCTATGTGATGGTTCCTGGCTTGTCTTCGGTGTTGATTTGCTTGCTGAACAGGGCGGTTAACGCGTCCATTCGGCTGCATCTCTTGGTTGTCACCATCGGCTGCATTGATAGGTGCATCAAGGTCTTCACGTTCTTCTCTCTCGCGGTTTTGATGGTTTCTTGGAGGAACCTCATCCTCTTCTCCATCTTGTCGAGCATGATCACCTTCTCTGTGATCGTTCTCTTCATTTTCTCCATGTTCGGATCCATCTTGGCCCATGTTTAAAGCTCGGTTAACAGGATCTCCAGGCTGGTCTTCGTTGGCCATTCCTTGCGTTCGTCTAAGTCTTCAAAGTTCTCTTTCGTGTCTGTCTATCTCATCTAGAATTGGAATGTTTTCTACAGGTTTGCGCCTGGTATTCATGCAATCAGAGAAAAACAAAAGAAGGGATAGATAACTCAGCAAACTTTAAAAGAAAGATCAGGTGTCTAAAACAGAAATTAGAACAAGAAAAATAACAAAGGCAGCGAAACAAATACCCGGAAATGGCGCCAAAAACTTGATGCGTGTCAACTGCGTGAGGAAACAAGTTTTACCCTTAATAAAAACAAATGAAAGCCGCAAGTGCACAGCTAATCAATTGTAGTACTTAGGGATCGAATCCACAGAGATTTGTGTGCCTGGTATTCTTCTACGGTTTCTAACTTTATGTCTAGACTATATTGGTTTTAGGGGTTGGTTGTTTGTCACGGATTAAACTAAAATTAAAGAAAGCAAATAAATATATCCTAAAGAGCAAGTAGAAAATCGAATGAAAGCAAATGAAACAAGCAGAATATCAAACTAAAGCAAATAAAATGCAGATCTAAATGAACAAGTAAAAATTGGTTGGTTTGTAAACTATGGCTAAAACCGCTGAGCTTTTTGGAACTCTACAGGGATCATAATCGGTTTTAACACTAGGGATTATAGAATGGGATTGACGGGTATCGAAATATAGGGTTCTAGAGCTAGAGTATGGCGGTATGACTACGTCACTGTAGTGATCATTACCAACTGTTTCTCGCAACCCTGACAAGTAGGTTTCCACTCTGGTCCTGGAAGGGAGAGAACGCAAGAACTGCATAGGACTCGTCACTACTCACAATTTCGCCGCAAGTAGGTTTCCACTCCTACGGAAATATCGCCTGTTTCATTCTAGGTCTGATACTTAATGAAAACTTTCGCAACACTAACTATCTAGATCAGATACGAGGTGATCAATCAAGCATACATGCAATAAGAACGAGAATAAACAGAGAACAAAGTTAAAATCCCAGATATATTAACCTATATGTCTTAATCGATTATGAGAGCCCTTTTCGAGAACCCTAAGCTCAACTCGGGATCTACTCAGACATGGCTGGGTCGACATCATCATTGGTTTTAATAAAAGTAATCAAAAACAGTAAAGAAAAGAGAAGAAAGAAAGCTTTTCAAATGAAGAACTCAGAGTTGAACAATCTTCTCTAAAAATCGCATAAAACGGCTAAAGAAAAGGGCTTTTCTAAAAGTATGAAGGTTTTCTCTAAAAACGACCTAAATGACGAGTATTTATAGTCTTCAATACTCCATGGTCTCTAGGGTTCCGGAATTGAGGCTGAGAAATGACTTTGGGCTTCAGAAATATGGGCTTTAAATCGGAGTTGGCCGGCCGCGGTCGAGAGTAACGTGACCGCAGGAAACAGAGGCTTGGCCGCAGCCGTGAAGCTTGTGACCGTGTGGAATAGGCTGGTGGCCGCGGTCGCATGACTTGCTGGCCGTCTTCAAGTGTCTCCGGGGCAAATGGAATATCTTGAGATCCAACCGTTGGAATGTCTCCAAACCAAGTGCATTTGAAAGCTGGTTGATTCTTCTAAAAGTTGTCCAATTTTGAGGGTGTGAGAAGGTCCTCGCCTCTCCATGAGAGTTCTGACGGTCTGCATTTATCCAAAAGAGTCTTTTTGTTCCAATTTGTGTCCCTTTATCCCAAATTACCTGAAAAATCTTATAAAATCCGAAAACATAGAAATCCTTTGAAAACTTTGTAAATGGAGTAAAAATACCTTTAAAAGACATTCAAGTGATCAATAAAAATGGTCAAAATCCGGTGTTATCAACCATATCCTTGTCGAATGCAACAAAAACAGACGTTACACTCCCATCGTCGACGACTATTTCCACCCGGTATCTGATAACATGGGAGTTGACAAATGTTAGTTGTTAATTGTCGTGAAATGAATAAGTTAACCAGTGTGCCGGTTTTCCAAAATCAGGTGAATGGATGGTCTAGTTTAGAGAAAGGTATTACTTGACATCACCAACTGCATCAGGGGAGTAGCAGTTGTTGCAGCCCAGGGTAGTCTTGGTTTTGGTCATCTTCTTTGCACATTTCGAACAGGATATGTTACACCCTTTTGTAGGCTGGATCTCGACAACTTTACCGGTACACAGAAATTCAGCCTCCTACACTTAAAGAGATCCTGTTAGGGATGTATAAGCATATCCTTTGGTGTGTATAGTGGGGAAATTAAGGAGGGAAATTAAGGTTAACCTGGAGGTCAGATGTGAACAAAAATTCATTCAGTTCTGCAATGGATACATGTTCAATCTTCTGGACGCCATGGCATTTTTCAGTGGGGAGATTGCCTGAATCTTTAGAGCTGACGCTGGTTTTATTTTTATCGTAGAATTACGAACTTTGTGTTAGCTTTTTTAGTAGACGTTGGTGTAACGTATGGACATTAAGGTTCAAATCTTACCGGTCCAGGTACGATTTGGTTGCGTCGACCTTGCCGTCAAAGTAGAACTTCGAACCAGTTGTGGCATTCAGATAAAGATCGCCTGAAAATTAATACATAGTAAGATAATGTATTCATGAGAAATATAATGAAAATCTATTCTATAGAGGTAGTGGTACGGGAACCTCCGAAAAACTTGGGATTCATATTGGTGGCCAACATGATACATGTCCCTGCCTCTTTCTCGCTGAATAACTTGTGTAGAAAGTTAGCGTGGTCATCAAAAGCACTCACTCGGACGTTCTCTCCGCTGCAGGGAAATCGTGATGGATATTAAGTATTATTTGGGATGGCTGAGGCAATGTTTAAATGGTGAAGTGATGTGACCAAGACTCATCGGTACCTTTCAAGACGAAGGTGGATCAGCATTCTCTGAACGCCCTCTGTTGCTTCATTGTGATAAGATTTTGTTGAGTTGACTTCTCCAATAATGTCTGCGTTTTTTTAAAGTGCAGAGATTGTGATCATAGGGTGAAGGAATGTATTAGAGTATTTTGAAAAAGAAATGTATAGAGGCAGTTTGAAGGGAGAGTGTTGGTGCCATACCAGGAAGCTCATTGTTGGTGTTGCCAACGGCCAAGAGTTGGTCGTAGGGCCAAGAGTTGGTCGTAGGACCAAAATCAGAAGTGTTCGGTGGGTATGTTGCACAACGACTGTTCCACACGAACTATGGAAGTATCAACGGTGAAGCGAATGGACAGATGGAAATCTGTCAGCTTGAATCGGTTGGTGCTCCTTGTGACTTCGAACCCACTGATAGCATACAATGATCCTTCAACCAACTATGACTGAAAAACAGGAAGATGGTGAACATGTATGGAGCCCTGCATCAGTGTAGACTATAGGCAAAAAATTTTAAGTCATAGTTAGGTTTATGGGAAATGAGATAACCTGTTTGGGATTTGCAGGTTACTGGCAGAATACCTTCTCGTCAAGGAGGAGGAGGTCGACGCCCATGAGTTGACCACCTTTTTTGATGTTGCAAGTAGTCCAGAAGCAGAGCAACCTAGCAACTAAACGCTGGTTAATACGGCCAGATTTCAGCAGAGCAAATGGAACGTAGGGTGCTTCCATGTCAAGCAGATTGTGGAGTGTGTTTAAAAGGCAGGAACTGATGAATGTGATGGAAGCTTACCTTGAGAGGGACCCATATATAGAGATAATGGTCCGTGTGTGCACCGTTTATTTGAAATTCGTGAAAAGTATGCTGTAATTGATGGAAAAATTAAAAGCCATCTGAGGTCAATTCATCTCCTCCATCTCCGGTAGTCTTTAATGGCTTCCGATGACTTATAAGTGGAAGCTTATTCTGTGTTTTTTTCTGAAACGGCGAACCTAAAATGTATGATGACTTAACCGAAAATAGGGTTATCAATGAAGATAAACAGAGATGGCGGGCTTACTAAATTGTTCCCGCGGCCCATTGAAAGCCCAATGGTATTAGTGGAAGAGACATAATTGGTTGTGGGCTGAAGTTGGATTCTCGTTTTTTTTTAGAATTTTTTTTTTGCAAATGTGGCTGCTGAGGTGGCAGCACAAGAAGAGAGAAAAACGTTCATATATATATATATGAGAACTATTACATCGATAATTTTACAACGAATAAGTCTCCCGCTTGTATTCATGCCAAGCGGATCTTCATGTACCACGTTGAAAGCCTCATGTAAGTTTGTTTCTATTAATCTGTAAATTAATAATAAATTACAGCTTTCGGGATTCGAAACTTAAGATCTCCTAATGTAAAAACATTAATGAAACACATTAACCAATATGCTAAAAGGGCTTCCATTAATATTTACTCTGATCTAATTAGAATATTATTATTTTTTACGGAATGAATATTTAAGTTTAAATTACAAACATAACAAAAGGATATTATGTATTGAGACTAATTTATAACTATTTCTTAAACCTAAAAGGACGAATCAAATTAAAATTTTGTCGACAACAGTTGTTTTTTTCTTTTCAAAATGTCTTATTAAATGGGTTATTGGTCCAGAGATGGATTCAGTTTGAAGTTTGATGGTTGTTAGTTATTGTCCCGTTGCAATTTACTTTGAACTTGTGTCATCTACTTGTTGATAGAACCATTTATTAATGACTATACACCTTGTTTTTTTTTCTGTTTAGAGCAAAGTGATTTTTTTTTAGGATTTGAGTCTCCATCTTCGTCTATTTGCTTTCTTTCCAAAATGGCTCTTTTTCTGATGATTAATGATTTAGATAGATCCTCTAAGTGATGTTGCATATGTGTGCAAATTATAAAAGGATCCAACAAAAACCTTGGTGTTCATGGCATTGAAAGATCATTTTAAACATGTAAGCCATTTTTAAAAAAAAATTCTTAATTTTGTTGGATGCCATCGATTTATATTTGATTAATGGAATCATGGTTATAGAATCGATGCATCGATTCTGAATCGTTTGTTAGACCGTAACGAGAATCTTATAAGTGAATGCGAATGGTAATTTATTGGTGGTTTTAGTGTTACCTCGCAAGCGGGATTATCAAAGTTGACATATAATAACTTACACATCTATATGAATATATCGATGGAAATATTTTTGTCCATTAGACATCTCCAAAATCAGAGGACTAATAGTATTCATTTTCACTGTAACATCTTGATTTCCGGTATATGGAAAGGCTTATAAGAATTGATTTGGCTATCTATGTCAACAAAATGCATTTATCTTTTCCGGTCAAGTGTGCTGAGAGAACTCCAGAATTAAGCGTGCTGATGCCTGAGTAATCTCAGGATGGGTGACCTACCGGGAAGTACTCTGTGGTACCATGCGAGTGAGGACAAAGCACGGAGAAAGATCATGTGGTGATTGCAGGGACAGTAGACAAATCTTACAAGCTTTTCGGACTAACGACTCCCGACCGTCGGACAGTGGTGGACCAACGGGCCTAGAGAGGGCGTTGGGCCAATGGGCCTAGAGGGAGGATGTTGGGCCCACGAGCCTAGAGAGGGCGTTAGGCTCATTGGGAGGAGCGGTTGGGGAGCGTTAGGATTGATATCGCCGGTCTGCGTCTGGCCTCCATAGGGAGGGCGGGATCAGGATGTCACAAGTGGTATCAGAGACGACACCCGACCACGTGTGTGGAGTCATGTGGCCTCACACCGTCTAGGGTGAACGATCCTGGTGCGCGAGCACTCTGTGAGTAGAGGGAGAATTCGGGACGAATTCCTTGGAACTCGGGGAAAATTGTAACATCCCCATTTCCGGTATATGGAAAGGCTTATAAGAATTGATTTGGCTACCTATGTCAACAAAGTGCACTTATCTTTTCCGGTCAAGTGTGCTGAGAGAACTCCAGAGTTAAGCGTGCTGATGCTGGAGTAATCTCAGGATGGGTGACCTACCGGGAAGTACTCTGCAGTACCATGCGAGTAAGGACAAAGCACGGGGAAAGATCATGTGGTGATTGCAGGGACAGTAGACAAGTCTTACAAGTTTTCCGGACTAACGACTCCCGACCGTCAGACAGTTGGTGAACCAACAAGCCTAGAGAGGGCGTTGGACCAATGAGTCTAGAAAGAAGATGTTAGGCCCACGAGCCTAGAGAGGGCATTGGGCTCATTGGGAGGAGCGGTTGGAGAGCGTTAGGATTGATATCGCCGGTTTGCATCTGGTCCCTATAGAGAGGGCGGGATCGGGATGTCACATTCACCATAGAAGATTTTTCTTGACGGATCATTTTCTAAATTGTTGGATATATCATTTTAATGCTGTCCAATATCTTATCTTACCATATGATATAATTTTTTGTACGATACTTGACTTGATCAAAGATATTGTTAAAATTAGCAAGCTGGAAATAGAGGACGGGATAGCATCCAGAACATACAGCACCAACGCATATAGTTTTTTGAACTTTACATTAAAGATTTCGAGTAAATTCTTATATATAAGTTTGTCGTGTTTAAAAATACTCGTTGATTTTGATTTTGATTTTGCTTATCAGATCTAGGTATCTTGACATCAATTATGTGGCATGGGGTAAACACGTTGAGTATTTTGATTCTTTATGCAAACATGTTCAACGTGGGAAAGTTGCTTTTGGTGTAATGAAATTTTGGGACATGTTTTGATACGAAGGTAATTTTTTACTATCTATTTCAAAAAAAGATCTAATTCTGAGTTGTAATGTTTTGATTATATCAATCTTGAATAAACGAAATACGCGTGTGCACTGGTCATTTTCAGAGATTATGTTTGATCCTCCAATATCCAAAGACAAAAACTCTTGATTTATGTGAGAAATTTAATCTAAACTTTAAAAAAAAAAACTGATGTGTCATTTGGTAGTTAATTAAATTCATATTTTTTTCTTTATATTATACAGATGAGTTTGGGAACATCAAAGATGAGTATATCCGTGAACCTGCTCCCTTTTTTCCGATGATAGATGGTGAATGATACAAATGTAAGTAGTATTGTTCGAATGGAGAATGATGCGTTTCGAAAAAACATAGCATTGTATGTTCATGGTAGTACTAGAATAAAAAAAACATAATTTAGAAGCTCTTAAATTTTTTGATATGTTAGATTTAGTTAAGCAATTTTTATATGGAGAATGTAGAGAGGGTATATCGTCTTTATCAATTGCAAGCAAGTTGAAGACTACAAATGTAGATTTTAATTTGGTGGAGGATTGTATGGATGTAATAGCTGATGTTGTGAAAGATATTTTACCTGAACATAATATCTCATCAGCTTCATACTACGAGGTTCAGAAACTTGCAGGCAGGTTTGGATTACCGTATGAAATGATATGTGTTTGCATCGACAATTGTAAGTATCAGGAAACAAGTGGCAGAATACATGTTCCACATAAAAAGATGTGGTATTTGTCATTAACGGAGATGTTTAAAAGATAATATCAATCCGAGAGAACAACAACACCAATGAGATAGCATGAACTACATAACTCACAGGGAGATATTGGGTATCCTTCAGATGCAGAAGCGTGAAAACATTTTCAAGAGCTTGTTTTGCGTATGAGCGGAGGAACATCTACCTTGGATTATCTACGAACGGATGCAACCCTTTTGGTAAGCATGGAAGATAATATTATTTGTGATCTGTAATTGTCACACCAAATAATTTGCCACCTAATTTGTGTATGAAACGAGAGTTTTTGTTCCTCACGATTCTCGTCCCTGAACCAGAGCACCCCAAGAAATCCCTTGATATTTTCTTGCAGCCACTAATTTATAAGTTGTAGTTGTTATGGAAATATGGCGTTGAATCGTTTGATGTTTATACAACAGAATTTTGTAATGCGAATGGTACTTATGTGTGGACGACAAGTGATTTTCCAGCATTACAGTATGCTATCTCGATACTCATGGAAGATTAACATGTCCGTACTGTCAAGATAACACAGATGCATTCTAATTACGATACAGACGAAAGACTTCTTGGTTTGATTGTTGATAACTAAGGTTTTTAAGGCCTTAAGAAGGGTTATCAATCCCTTATGTCACTTGTAGTACAAAGGGTATCAATCCATATGTGTGGTAGTTAGGCTCTAGTTTATGTGACAAGTTCTTAAGTCAAGCTGAATAAAAGATGAGTTTGGTGAAACCAGCACAAGAAAGCATAAAACAAGAAACAAACAAGCTATGATTAATGAACTAAGCAAGCAAACAAAACAAGATGATGGTGATTAAGCAAATGATAAAAGCTAAACCTCTAGATGTGATCATTGGTTAGGGTGCTTTAGATATCAATTCATGATGCTAAGAACATAATGCAACACTTACTACTCTTTAGTCTAGGCTTCTTAATCAGATTAATTCATTCCCATGACAATAATCCCTTTGCTAATCACTTAATCAAGTCTAACAACCATTAGATATAATCAAGCAATCAACAAGCATAATGCATCAAGCCTAATAAGTGACCAAACAATCTCTCAACCAAGAAGACTGAATCTTACACAGAAAGACATAGCAAGCAATCACATGATCTCAAATATTTCAACTTAGAACTCTAATCTAGACTAATCCTCTCATGAAGGCATTAATCTCTACACTAATCCACTTTCAAACCAAATTCCC